TGTTGAAAGCTGATTAGAAATCAACAATAAGCAGCCTGGCATGATTCTTACTACCGTCCAAGTGCTTGTATATAAGGTTAAATAAGGTAGCAGTAGCGTCCTGGACACCCCTCTTAGCTCTGTAGGCAAATTGAAGCGAGTCTAACAGGCACTCAGCTTTAGTGAGCAACTCTTCTTTGACTAATTTTTCTAGTTGCTTCACAACCATAGAGGTTAAGGCCACTGGCCGAAAGTCTTTCAGAGTGGAGGGGCAGCTTGTTTTAGCAACAGGAACCACTATGGACTTCTTCCACAAGACTGGCACTCTCTGCTGGACAAGAGACATGCCAAAGATATCATTAAAAAAGTGGGGCCAAGTTGGTCAGCACATGTTTTCGGTAAACAGCCACTGATGTAATCAGGGTCAGGACTTTTCTTTGGCCTGCACTGTTTGAAACACCTTATTACATGGCCCTCATCGAAAAAGGGGTTCTGTGGAGTGGCTGACATAAGACACATTTTTGTCTCAGCATGAGTAGCCCTAAAATCATGGGAGTCAAACCTGACATAAAAACTGTTAAGATTTTGAGCTAGGGCTGCAAGGTGGCGCAGTTGGTTATCACTGTTGTCTCGCAGCGAGAAGGTCGCCGGTTAGCGTCCCGGTGAGGACACCGGGATCTTTCTGCGTGGAGTCTCCATGTTCTCCCCGTGCAGCGTGGGTTCTCTCCGGGTTCTCCGGCTTCCTCCCACAGTCCAGAAACATGCTGAGGTTAATTGGTGATTCTAAATTGTCTGTAGGTGTGAATGTGAGTGTGCTTGGTTGTCTGTCTCTAAGTGTAGCCCTGTGATGGACTGGTGACCTGTCCAGGGTGAACCTGCCTTCGCCCTAAGTTGGCTGGGATAGACTCCAGCCCCCCACAACTCCAATGAGGATTAAGCGGTGTATAGATAATGGATGGATGGACTTTGAGCTAGCTCTAAGTCAGAATTATAACCACTGAGCTGAACGTTCCTCTTTATATAGTCCCAGTGATCAGCTTCATGCCTTTCCAGACTGAGACTGAGACTCAATTTGTGTTTTTGTATTGTCTTTTGTAGGTCCTGATCTCGTGATTTACTTCCCTCTGTGGGTCATACAGATTTAGTTTATTTCCTTCCCTGAAGCCTTTTTCTTTCTTTACAGTAGGTCTTTAAGTTTCTTAGAAACCCATGGCTTAGTGTTCGGATAAACTTTTACAGTTTTGTCAGGAATAACACTCGTTTCACAACATGAGACCCAACTGCTCGCGACATCAGTCAGTTCATCAATGTCAGCTGAGGACTCCTTAAACATGTCCCAGTCCGTAGCCTCCAGGCACCCTGCAGAGTGCGACAGGCGTCCTCATCCCAGACTTTCACTCTGAAGGTCTGCACTTTGCCTCGCTTCAGCACAGTGCGGTAGACGGGAATAAGGTGAATGCAGTTGTGGTCAGAGGAACCCAAAGGTGGGAGGGGCATGGATTTATACAGACAGTGACAGATTTGCACCAGCGCTGGTTGATGTACAGACACACACCCCCACCTGTTGACTTGTCGTATCTCTGTCCAGTCGTGGATGTAACCAGTGGCCCCTGGTGGTCCTCCGCTGTCTGCCTCTGATTGGGGCAGGCAACAATAAAGTGAGTCAGGCGAGGAGGGCGGTGCTGAAGATCTTCTCTGAGGCCAGAGAGACACGAGGCTTCAGCTGTGAGTTGTGGTAAGATGTCTGTTATTTTAGGGGTAGTTCATTCATAGAAGCAGAGGTGTGCCTTTTGAATAGTTGTCTTTGGATGTTAAAGTGTGATCACACTTATGCCTATTACCTATAAATGAACTACCCCTAAAATAACAGACATCTTACCACAACTCACAGCTGAAGCCTCGTGTCTCTCTGGCCTCACGCAGAACATCGTCAGCACTGCCCTCCTCGCCTGGCTCACTTTATTGTTGCCTGCCCCAATCAGAGGCCGACAGCGGAGGACCACCAGGGGCCTGTACTACGAAGCGAGATCAGCCTACACAGGATATGTTTCAGAGATCCTGATTGACTAACCCTAACAATTGCACTCAGGATAACCGGTCCTACGACGGTGGTTATCAACTGGATAAGTCAACCCAGGTTTGTCTGATCTGAGTATGAGCGCGTGCACATAAAATGGGTTATCGGCATCTGACCAATTGCGACTATGGACAAGTCTGGCTGCAGAGCGGCTCACTTTACCGCCAAGGAGCAGAATATAATCTAAACAAGATATGAAGAATAATATAAAAACATTATAGGAGCAGAAAGCAGCACCGTTGCAGCGGCCAAAGCCAGGAAGGAATGCTGGCAGGAAACTGTGTGAATGAATAAGTTCATTAGTTTATAATATAATAAAATATGATCACTGCTCACTCCATCATGAAGGCACGTATTAGACAATAAGCACATCTGAGGATTCCTTTAACTAATGTCCTGCCTAATGTTTAAACTTGTGGCATATCTGACTCTTTTTTTTTTTTACTTTCAGCTGCAACGCTGGCGGTGTAAGAAGGACGTGTGAACAAATTATGAACAAACATAAACATAATTCAAAGCAGTGTAGCTCATTAACGTATCCTACAAATACGAGCTTTAATGCTAAAGTCAGTTTACTGCTATGGGGTGATATTGGTATGGAAATGAAATATGAAATGGCTTTGACATCGTCTGTAGCCAACAGGGAGAAAAATGAAGGAAGGATGACAGCAGCTCATAGAGATCCTGGTTAGAGTGCGCTGTTCTGCCGCCTCACACTCCTCAGTGATCCCTCATAGTTCACGCTCCGATGTGTAGCAGCTCTTCTATAAATGCCAATGATGCCATTTTGTTGAGAACTGCTCATTCTGAAGTTTTACGGGAGAGATCTGACTTTCAGTGGGCGGTGCTTTAATACCCGGGGATCTCAATCTTGAACATAACCTGTTGCGGAGCAGGTTAGCCGTTCAGCATAAGTTACCATTGTGATGTACCCCGGTAAGAAGTGAACCACCTTCGTAGGACCGAAAACCCAGGATTTAACCTTAAGTTACCTCGATAGCCCTAAATCCTGCTTCGTAGTACAGACCCCAGGTGCCACTGGTTACATATAGGTGCTCCAAAACCCACCGTCTCCAGATCCCTGTCTGAGTCCCTGTCAGACAGCCAGATTTCAGTGAAAGCAACGATGCAGGCATCCCTGAATTCATGGCTGTAGTGGGCTTGGGCTTGAGGGTCGTCCGTTGTATTCTGCAGAGACTGGGCATTAGACAGCACCACTGATGGTATCGGTATGCAGGACAGCAGCTGGCTTTTAAATTTAAGACAAGCGCCACCTCTTCCTCTTTTTCGTACCTTACGGCATCGACCGCCAAGAGGTCCTTGAGAAGCTGATCTTCTTAGAAGTCCTTCCAAACGTAAAGATTCCAGATCGGCTGGCCGGTCGGCGGCTCCTCCTCCACTCCTCAGGCCCCCAGGTTCAACATGCCCAGGACCCTCTACAATTTGCCTACTGGGCAAATGTTGGGGTGGAGGATGCTGTGCTGTACCTCCTCCAATGAGCCCACTCACACCTGGACAAGGGAAGCGGCACTGTGAGGATTCTTTTTATGGACTTCTCAAGTGCCTTTAACACCATCCAGCCCCTGCTACTGCAGGGAAAGTTTGAAAGGATGGGAGTGGACTCGTGCCTGGTGGACTGGATCTCCGACTACCTCACTGACAGACCACAGTATGTCAGACTGAGGGACACCACATCACACTGTGGTCAGCAGTACAGGGGTCCCTCAGGGGACAGTGCTGGCCCCTTTCCTCTTCACCCTGTGCACCTCGGATAGGTAGTGTGATAAGAAGAATGGAAATATTGACAGTCCTGTTACTTGAGGAGCTCGTCTCCCAGAACCCCGAGATGTGTGAGATTCTGTGCACACCGACTCCAAGATCCTCGTTTGAAGGTGTTGATTCTTCTTCACCCACAGATGTCAAAAGGTCAGATAAGCTTTTAAGGGTTAGCAGGACTTTCCATTCAGCCTGTAAAGTACTAAACCCATCACACTCCGGTGTCGCTACCATTTGCATAGAGCATCATTTAATTGAAAAAGAACTGCAATACATACAGAGTTGGTCAGCTCCATGGTACGGTACAGTACAGTGCACAATTACAATGATGAAAATTCCCTTTTTAAATATGATACACAACATTTCAGCCTCCAACATCAGCAGCATCGCAAATGTCTCCGTTCTCTCAAACTACGCGTCTAGCATTGGAATTATTTCAAGCCATACATGTACTGAAAGACGGACTGTGCAGAGGACAAACAACCAAAAACAAAAATCAAGTAAGAAAATTAAACAGCTAAAGAAGGAACGTGTCAGTGTCTCTGTGGAATGACTGTAAATCAAATCAAGCGGTCATACAGTTGGCTGAGACAGTAAATACATTCGTCACTTCTGTGAAGTGATGTTTGGAGGAATGTCGTCTGCACAATAAAATGATTGATTGCTAATTAATCCCAGATTATAATATTGATCTTTATAAAAAAGCAGGAGACTGTGGATATATTTCTCACCGACATGGGGGGGAGGGGGTTTCACGTCATTCTAAATATTTCTACAGAATGCATACATCTGCTTACAGGTTCTTTAAGTATGAACAAGGCTTTGGGAAGGCGATAAAGTGGCACTGAACTGAAGATCACAGCACATCCAGACCAAGAGAAAACAACTCTGTGCTGATCAAAGCAAGGCATCTCTTAGTATGCAGACGACTGGTTTTATTATCCATCAACTGTTGGGCCTTTTATTGCATTTCCTGACATTCCCTGAAGGAGCAGTAAAGTCTGTCCAGCGCGCAATGACAATCTACTGGTTCCAACATTTAAGGTCTGTCAAAGCTCAAAGCGGATTAAATCAGGAATCATGCAGACGCACAATCACACACACACACGCACACACACACACACACACACACACACACACAGACACACACACACACACACACTGTGAAATGATGCATAGCTGCAAGACAAAGAAATAAAAGTTGCCCAAAAACACCTCTTTCAGGGTTTTTTTTTTGTTGCAGTTTTAGCTGCTGTCTGGATTTCAAGTCGACTTCTGATTTCACTGGAACAGCAGCAGAATTTGGAACATTATGATTAAACATTTAAGGACTTTCTTTCGAATAGCTGCGATGTAAACCGTATATATGTAGATATAGTATCGGTATATAATATCTGCTGCTTGAATCGTTTCCTCAGAGGAGCTGAAACTGGACAGAACGTGAGACGGATGGACTGGATGTGGTTGAGGATGAACCTCTGTCAGGACGGTCGTCTGCCTTCAGTCTCTGCTCTCCCGCTATCATGCATTCTGTGAGTCGCGTTTTCTGCATGCATTCGTTATGAGCCCCTTTAAATGAGCAAATGGTTTTAGTACCATGAACACATCACGTTATGTACATCTGGCAACAACATCGAGAGGCTCCTACGGACAAGCAGGACCGTTGGATCGGGCAAAGAAAAGAAGCGAGCCCTCAGTGTTAGATAAGGCTCGAAGGTGTGCAACAGTTTCATCAACGCGTCAGTCGGAGTGGTTCATTCTCTCGTGATGACCCAAGGTCACCAAAATAAAGCACAAATTCTTGGAAAACGCGATAAAGTAATAAAAGTCATAAATAACAAAAAGACAATCTGTACACACACAAATACACCCTGTCGCACACAGTTCAGAGTAGTGGTAGAATCTACTGAGTGGAGCCACGGACGGCGGCCTCAGTGAGGAAGTGCAGCACTGAACGCTCGTTACTTGGTTTCGTCACAATCAGTTTCAAACATTCACACGACAACAAACGGCACGAATGACTGAACAAAGAGACACCGGCGTGATACAGTCGAGGCAAAGCTGGAACTGGAGTTGGACCGGCCCACCGAGCGTGTGTGTGTTGGTGTTTCAGGTAAAAACGGAGCTGGAGATGAACCGGGTTCTTCTCCAGTCTGGGTTCACGCCCACTGTGGAGCCGAGGCAGGTCCACGTTCTCAGACCACAGACTGTAGAAAATGGACGATGGATGGAGGGATTCCTCTCTCCTCCTACTTCCTCCCGCTCTGTGTGCAGTGCTGGAATTGAGCGAAGCTCAGGAACACCTGCTCCAGTGAAATCTGGCTCACACAGTAGTCCTCAATGCGGTACTTCTCTTTGGCTGCCTCCAAAGTGCCAAACACCTGCAGGACGGAGGCACAACATGGACAGGTGTGACTGAGTGCTGCCTCAGGCTTTGTGCTTCATGCCAAGATCTCTGCCAACAGCTAAAGCCTGAAATAAGTACACCTGTTTCTTCACAGTTTCGTCCTTTTCCGAACGCATCTCTGCTTAAAGCCAGAGCATTTCAAATTGTGCACCATGAAAACAACACTGGTTAGACAGTATTGGTCGTTTTCTTTGAAGTTGGCTTCCTGGAACAATGTTTAGCTCAAAGATCCAGAATGTATTTCATCAACTCAATACTACAAAAATGCTGTTTGTGTCTTTATATTTTAAAATCATGTACTTCTATGAACTCATAACTGATGTAAAACGCACCAGTTGTTTATTTTTCTGTCACAATACTCAATCAGAATATCAGATGTGTGCAGACATGATCTTTTGTAGATGATTAATTGAAATGATAAACACTTCAATAACGTCTAAAGAGAAAAAGAAAGCACAGAGCTGATAATGCAGCATCTGAGACACCTTAAAGTTTAGTCTCCAATATGAGGCTGAAGCTCCGGAGCACTGAATCCTACATTTCCCATAATGCAACTTTAACAGGCTTTCTTTAAAATGTGTCCGAACTTTAATGACTGGTGTCTTCTGAGTCATTTTCTCAGACCTGACAGAGTTAATAAAGTGTTTTTAACTAATAAATAAAAGATCTTTTCTCAGGTTTAAGGTAAACGCAGGACATTCACAGCGTAACCACGGTGTTGCTGTGCAGTGTCGTCCACTAGAGGGAGATCTAACACATGCTATGTAGACCAGGTGCCTTACCTGTGCCCAGGTGAGCGTTTTGTCGGTCAGGTGGTAGTGCACCATGCCCTGGTGCTCATCCTTCAGCTGACTTCCTGTGGAGAGAAAATATACACAGTAAAATCTGCTTTTTATTCTTTTACAAACTAAACCCAACTGCTCAACGCAGAGCAGGAAAAACAATTCAGCTCTACTGAGAAATCCTTTTTGACACAGTTCAGGTGTACAGTGATGTGTGTGAATGTGCAGGTATGATATTGTGTTCATCTGTTTTATATCATTAATCATTTTGACACAAAGACATAGTTACAGTCTTTGAGGTTTCTTTATTGTTGGACTAAACACACTGACTTGATTTTTTTAAACGAGTTCAAATCTGCTATTTTTCATGTTAAAACAAGTCTCCTACCTGGGAAGGTGCTTTCTATGAAGTCTTTAAACAGCAGCAGGTCACTGTCCTCCAGCTCAGCTTCTATATGTACTTTGGCCAGCAGTGTGTAGCCGCTGCCAAACTTGCTCTTCAGGTGCTGAGGACTCCCGAGACACTTGAACTGACCGTTGACCATCACTGCCAGCCGGGTGCACAGCGCCTCACACTCCTCCATACTGGGGAGGGAACACGTCGGGGGGAAAACAGTGGATCGTGAGATGGAGCAGCACAACGTTTCTTCGGCTGCCAGTCATTGTCTTCTATGAAGCTCACCTGTGAGAAGTGATGATTATGGCCTTTCCAGACTCTCGTGTTCGTGTCACAGCGTCCCACAGCAGCCTCCGGGCCACTGGGTCCATCCCGGTCGACGGTTCATCCAGGAAAATGACCGGAGGCCCACCGATCAGAGCCATGCCCGCACTCAGCTTCCGCTTGTTACCGCCACTGCACAAGTTTAAGGTGCCTTATTATTCACACAAAAACAGGGAACCATGTGCACTGTGTGCCGCTGCCAATGTGTCGTACCTGTAGCTGCGGACCAGTTTATCAGCATGAGGCTCCAGCAGCAGCGACCGCAGCACGTTCTCCACACAGCCAGACACATACTTCTCTGGTATTCCTCGGAGCCGGGCGTACATGCTCAGAGTTTCTCTTCCTGTCATGTGGTCCAACACGGCGTCAAACTGAGGACAGTAGCCTATTCGCTGCTGCACCTGAAACGCAGAGATAAGCGTTGCTCAGTGCGGCCTGACACCAAAGATCAATTTACAGTTCTACAATTCTACAGATCAATTTAAATCCAAACATGGCAAACTGAGTGAGTTACCTTCTTAATGTCCCTGAGGATGCTGTATCCGTCGATGTAGGCGTCTCCAGAGGTGACGCTCTCGTCGCCTGTCAGCATCTTAAACGTCGTGGTCTTTCCCGCTCCGTTGAAGCCCAGGAGGCCGAAACACTCTCCTTTCCCCACAGCAAGGGAAAGCCTATCCACCGCCAGAAGACTCTCGCCACTGCTGTACACCTGAGCAGCACAGGTAACACTGAGTCACACACACACACACACACACACTCCAGCACCGAGGCTGTCGTCTGCTCTGCTTCAGATAAACCCTACCTTGCTGATCTCCTGCAGGATGAGCGGACTCCCCACCATCGACTCGACGACCGGCTGGCACTCCAGGACCCTCTTCCTCTCGTCGGCCACGTCCCTATCCTCTGGAAGCAGCGCCGCATCCTCCATTAGAGGCAGCTGACACAACATGAAGGATTAGAAAATGTATGACCCTACATCCACTTCACAGCAAAAAGGGTCACATAATACTTAACCAGGAGCTGCCAACTTGGTTTCATTACACAACTGATTCCCTCCGTAGAGGCTTTTTGGGTTGCAATTATTGTCTTTACTCATGAATCTGTGGATAATTTTCAAAACCTAAATATCTTCAAACAGAATTATTTATCCGACCAGCAGCCTGAAACCCAAACACACTTCCCAAGACAACGAAATCTGCAAATCTTTAAACCAAAAGAAGCTGAAAGAAAGATGTTTGGTTCTTCTGCTTTAAAAAAAAAAGTTTCTTTCTTTATCAGTCCAAGAGCACTCCAAGTGTTTTCTGGGTTTTTCCTCACTGTGGCTCATGTTTGATAGAAACACAACAACATGACTAGAAGAAACACATTTTTAAAAAATCAGCTGAAAAGCTCCTGAACTTCTGATGCTTGACTTTTTGTCGCAGCTCAGTCATTAGCAATCGCACCATTGCACAGAGGAACGCAGAGATTCATCTTTTTACAGAGTCGGCTCACTGCAAATGTTTTATGTTTTGGCAAAGTGGAATAAAGTGAGTTTGATGAAGTAGCCTTATGTTGAGCTTAGTTGCGTTTAGAGTGCCAGAATGTGTAAAACCCAACTATCTTTTCAGTGTCTACAGTTTCTGGCTCATATTGGCACTTTCGTAAATATAAAATGCCTTTTAAGGTGAAAAGGTCAATAAACGAATCAATTAATCGACTAATAGTTCCTCAAAATGCTTCATAAGAAATCCCACTTAAGTAAAGCCTAAGGGCTGATTAATGGCGTCTTTGGCCTGATGGACTCTGGTTCATTATACACAGAGTGACAGAGGAAACATAATCATCAGTTCTTTATTCAATACAGTTAAACATTGATCCTTTGACAAATGCTAACTACCAGACGTCACCTATAGTTTGCTCTAATGTGATGTCATCTATTTTATTGTCTGATTTATTTTTACATTTTATTCATTTATTTAATTCTCTTCTACACTTTTTTTTTAAAATTTACGTATGTATTTATTTATTTATTAACTACTATAATAGTACTTCTGGCCTTGTCATTATGGTTCTACCTTCTATTTACTTTTTATTAT